GCCATCTGGATGTCCTCTTTGGAGAAGTGTCTGTTCATGTCTTCTGCCCATTTCTTCACTGGGTTGTTTGTTTTTCGGGTGTGGAGTTTGGTGAGTTCCTTATAGATTTTGGATATTAACCCTTTATCTGATATGTCATTTGCAACTATCTTTTCCCATTCCGTTGGTTGCCTATTAATTTTCTGGATTGTTTCCTTGGCTGTGCAGAAGCTTGCATTAACATATTTGAATTCACTCATGTTTTCTTCTTCAGGGACTCTATCTGTTGTTAATCTCATCCAGGATATTTTTCATCTCAGACATTTGTGTCTAAAACTTTGATTTGGGTCTTTTTCCTAACAGCTGTTTTAATACATTATCAACTGTGCTGTTTCTGGATATGTTTCTGTTCAATGATTCTCTCCTTGTTATGGGTGATATTTTCATACTTCTTTGCATGCCTGGTCATTTTTGACTGGCTGCCAGACATTATGAATTTTGCTTTGTTTTAGGTGTTGGATTTTTCCTTAAATATATTGGGGCCTTTTTTAGAATATACTTGGAAATAAAGTATAGAATATTCTAGAATATACTTGGAAGTAACTTGGAAATCGTTTGATCTGTTCAAAACTTGCTTTTTAGTTCATTAGGCTGTCCTTCATAGCTGTTAGTCTGGGGTTAATTTGGTTCCATTACTGAGGACACTATTCAATGCCCACTGTTAAGAGGTCTCTCCATACTGACTGGTGGGAACATGAACTATTCCCTGCCCCTGTGAACTCCAGGGACTACGCTGCCACTGAAAGAACCTCTTCAGGGGTTCTCTCCTGGGCCTCTAATAGCAGTTCTCATAACTCACCTGATGATTCCAGGGAAGTCCCTGCGATCCCAAGAGTTCTCTGTACAGCCCTTTTCTTTCTAGTACTGTGCCTGGAAAATTATAGCCATTTCAGCTTCCCAAACTCTGAACTTTGTTTCTTCAACTGATCAAGACCTCCATGGTCTCTGTGGGTTTCCCCTCCTGCACTGCGGCCTAGATATTCCCTCTAGCCAGTAAGCTGCACTCACAGGGCTCACCTCACTTGTTTCCCTTCTTTCAGGGATCGTTTACATGCACTGCCTGTTGTCCGTGTCTGAATATCACTGTGTTATATGTTTTGTCTGGCAGGAGGGAGGAAAGTAAATTCAGTCCCTATGGTACCTTTATAGCTGGAGATACAAGTCTTACTTGTGATTTTTAAGAATCAAGAAATTACTTTCTTTAACTTTGCTTCATATTTCTGTAAACTATAAGGCTGTACACTTAAGACAATGTATGTTCAGAAAAGTCTAGGAGCCATCCTTTTGGCTTTCTCCGCATACTGCCCAGGTAAATATTTTTTCAGTTTTTACTTTTTATTTCCATTATTCTTCTTATCATTAATATAAATAAGTATGTATATCTAGTCAAATCTCTACCTTCTTCTTAGAGGACTGGCAGCATACTATATACTTTTCTCTGCCTTGTTGTTTTACCTAATAACACATCCTGAAATTACTCCACTGGAGTAAACAGAGATAGTCCTCACTCCTTGTTATAGCTATATAGAAGGTAACCTTTTACAAAAGCCATTACACTGCAAGCCCATGTAACTTTAGGTTTTTTTAAACTTGTAACGTACACGAAGGTTAAATTAAAAATGTAAAAACATTATCATTGACAATTTCAAAGTTTTTACTTACGCCATGCTGAAAGAAGGTTTTGCATCTTGATCAGACAGAGAAGCAATGGTATGTTGAGGAAATCCTTTAAAGAAGAAAATGTATTAATTTCTTTTTCCAAGCACATAGCAAAATTCTAAGACTAGGAAGCTAAAAATATTCCTACCAGAAAGCCCACAAAGTTGTACAAAAGTTCTCTCTCCTGCCTTTTAGACTGGTTTATTATACTAGTATAGTATACCAGGCTATAAAAAAAATTAAAAGTGGAGAAAATGGGGGCAAGACAGATGGCCGCAGATTCTAAAGTTAGCCAGTTGGATGCTAACAGACTGAGGTGCCCAGGAGACCCTCCATACATATCTTTATTTATTTTTCTTATTTAAAAAAAAATTTTTTTAGGTTTATTTATTTTTGAGAGAGAGACAGAGACAGAGAGAGCCAGGGAGGAGCAGAGAGAGAGAGGGAAAGAGAGAATCCCAAGCAAGTTCTGCACTGTCCGCACGGAGCCCAGTGTGGGGCTTGAACCCGCAAACTGCAAGATCATGAAACAAGCTGAAGCCAATAGTCAGACACTTAATCAACTGAGCCGCCCAGACACCTCATACATATCTTTAAATCCTAAAAACAAGTCTAAGAGAAGCAGAAACTATAAAAAAAAATTTCATTACATATAAATATTAAGTCTATCTACATATCAAAATAAGTAAAGTTAAATGGCCAAATGAAAAAATATTTGCACCAGGTGATGAAAATGGGTTTATATTCCTAAATGGCTAACAAATCAATTTGAAGAATAAATTATTATAAGTTTAAATAACTTTAAAATGGGCTAAAAATATGTATCAGTAAGTAAAAAAAATTAGCCAACATAACATTTAAAATGTATTGAGTGTTTACGTCAAGTATTATTCTGTATGCTTCATGTATATTAAGTCAACTGCTGCTACACACCATGAGATAGACACTTACATCATTTTACAGATGAGGAAACAGGAGAGGTCACCAGTACTATAAATGGACTAAAAAAAAAGACAGAAAAGCATTCCATCTCACTAACAGTTAAATAATGTATATTAGGGGCACCTGGATGGCTCAATCGGTTGAGCGTCCGACTTCGGTTCAGGTCATGATCTCAAAGTTTGTGGGTTCTAGCCCTGCATCAGGCTCTGTGCTGACAGCTCAGAGCCTGGAGCCTGCTTGGGATTCTGTGTCTCCCTCTCTCTCTGCCCTCTCCCCCACATGGTCTGTGTGTGTGTGTGCCTCTCTCTCTCTCAAAAATAAATAGACATAAAAAAAAATTTTTTTTAAGTGTATATTAAACAAACAAACACAGGGCACCTGGGTGGCTCAGTCGGGTAAGCCTCTGACTCTGGATTTCTGCTCAGGTTATGATCTCATGGTTCTTGAGATAGAGCCCCGTGGGCAGTGCGCTGACAGCACTGAGCCTATTTGGGATTATTTCTCTCTGCCCCTCCCCCAGTGGCATGTGCAAGTGCTCGCTCATGCTATCTCTCTCAAAATAAGTAATAAACATTTTAATTTTTAATTTTCATTTGTTTTTTAATGTTTATTTTTCAGACAGAGAACTAGAACACAGGCTCAGTTTCACGTCCAACTCTTGAATTTGGCTCAGGTCATGATCTCAGCAGTTCATGAGTTCGAGCCCCAGGTCAGGCTCTGTGCTGATAGTGGAGAGCCTACTTGGGATTCTGTCTCTCCCTCTCTCTTCTGCTCCTTCCCATCTCATTCTCTTTCTCTCTCTAAAAATAAACTTTTTAAAAAATGCATAAAGAGACTCTTTTTCATACTTAAAAAGTTTATGCCTTTTTCTACTGTAAACATAATGGGTTCATTATAAAATTTTTATAATAAAACTATATATAATGTTTATATATAAAAGTATTACAAAATATAAGAAAAAGAAAAATTATTTTAGATGATGCAAAACCCATCATTCTTCTCTTGAAAAATGAGAAGAAATTTTAAAAAAATATTTTATTTTATTTTATTTATTTTTAAAGATTTTAAGTAACCTCTATACTCACAGTGGGGCTCAAACTTACAACCCTGAGATCAAGACTCACATGCTCTCCCAAGTAAAATAGCCAGATGCAACCCTCTCAAATCCCTTTTAAGCAATGTGATGTACCTCCCTGCCACTTTCTGCCTCTGCAGTTTGTATTATGCAGCTATTTTTTAAATGTTTTTTAAATTTATTATTGAGACAGTGAGAAACAGAGCATGAGTGGGGGAGGGTCAGAGAGATACGGAGACAGAGAATCCGAAGGAGGCTCCAGGCTCTGAGCTGTCAGCACAGAGCCTGATTCGGGGCTCGAAGTCATGAACCATGAGATCGTGACCTGAGCTGAAGTCGGCTGCTTAACTGTCTGAGCCACCCAGGCGCCCTGTATTATAGAGCTTTGACCAAACAGTACAAAGAATTTTGTAGCTTATCTTTTAAATTTCTTAATACAAAAAGAATTTTTCTATAAATGCAGTGTCTCTGTACCTTTCTAGCCTTAAAAAGAAAACAGTAATGACTGTTGTGATAGGACATGTTTTTTTTAAAAAATGTTTTATTATTTATTTTTCAGACAGAGAGTGAGAGAGAGACAGAGAGTGAGTGGGGGAAGGGCAGAGAGAGAGGGAGACACAGAATCTGAAGCAGACTCCAGGCTCTGAGCTATCAGCACAGAGCCCAATGTGGGGCTCAAACTCACGAACCATGAGATCATGACCTGAGCCAAAGTTGGACGCTTAACTGACTGAGCCAACTAAGTGCCCAGGCTTTAGTTTTCTTTTAACTTCTCTGTATTTTCCAAGGTTGCTTCAACAGGATAATTTTCTCTAATTATGAAACATTTAAGTTAAAAGAAATAAATTCTTAAACATTAAAATGATTGTGTACAAATAAAAACAGCAAGTCTAATTTGACCCCAAACAGCCATTTTTTTTTTTTTTTTTTTTTTTTACAAATAGTTTATTGTCAAATTAGTTTTCCCCAAACAGCCATTTTTAAGTATCTGTTTTACAACAACATAAACTAAACACTTACCCATGCGAATAAGTGAGCATTCAGAACCGGAGCTAGCGGGCGGGGGACTGACATGATGTGTCAGCAATTCCTTGTAATGGCTTTCATCTAAGATAACATGGTATGTGCCTAGCAAGACGAAAAGGAAGAGGAAAAAGACATATCAGCTTTCCAGACACGAGTATCAATTGTAATTTCTATGTAATTCTGAAAGTTACACCATCTGGAAATGTACATTTTCAAAATAAGTATTTAAGTTAAATGATCATTTTTCAAAAACTCATTTAAATGACATCTCTAAGTTGACTTCTCTAGGAATAACTATATTTACAGTTTAATTAAAGCCAAGTTATAAGATCTTTACAAAGTATTACACATTAGTGAAATTTCTAGCATTTCAAGAGTTATAATGCTTTCTCTAAATAATGACATAACTACTAAAGGTCCTTGCATTTTGAGATGATATCTTACAGAATCAATAATACATTTAAGATGACTATACATACTATAGACTTCAGGACATGAAGTGATTTATTTATTTATTTATTTTTTTTAAATTTTTTTTTTAATGTTTTATTTATTTCTGAGAGAGAGAGAAAGAGACAGTGTGAGCAGGGGAGGGTCAGAGAGAGAGGGAAACACAGAACCCAAAGCAGGCTCCAGGCTCTGAGCTGTCAGCACAGAGCCAGACACGGGGCTCAAACCCACGAACTGTGAGATCATGACCTGAGCCGAAGTCGGACGCTTAACCGACTGAGCCACCCAGGCGCCCCAGGACATGAAGTGATTTAAATTAGGAGCTTGAAAATATCCTGATTTACAATTTTTTCCCCGTTTATTTATTTATTTAGAGAGAGAGTGATAGAGCAAGCAGGGGAAGGGCAGAGAGAGTGGGAGACCGAGAATCCCAAGCCAGCTCCATGCTATCAGTGCAGAGCCCCACTTGGGACTCAATCTCATGAACTGTGAGACCATGACCTCAGCTGATATCAAGAGTTGTACACCCAATCGACGGAGCCACCCAGGCACCCTAAAACATCCTAATTTAATTAATCAACTGCTATTTCTTACATAGGAATTATGAGTAAATACTGAAGATTCGAGATATATACCACCAGTTTCACGAGCAAGTATGGTGCAAACCCGAACCTCTGCAGACAGTCCTATAACAGACACTCTAATTTTAGCTGTCTTCAGGGTCTTCATAAAATCCATGTAAATGCAGCGTTTGGGGGAAAGAAAAAAAAACATGCAAAAATTAATGTGCTTAAGAAGCAAGTTTCTGAAAACTAGTAATAAATTCACTGCAGAATTCTCTTTGGAGTTGAAACTCTGGCTTTGAATATAAGGAAATGTATGGGCTCTACCTTGATTAGATCATAGATATTAGATGGATCACAAGTTGTGAGGCTGCTAAAGATGATCAGCACTTCTCTACTTGTATGTCCAGGCATGTGTCTACAGAGAGGTAAAATATATTCCAATTAGGGACAGATTAATGAATTACTTTGCCTAGAAAAAACAGTACTTGTGGTTTATTTATTTGGACTATAGAATATCCCATTTAACACTGCAAAGGAATGAATTGTGACTATACTCTAAGTATATTACTATAAAATTTTCTAAAATTAGCTATACAAAAAATTGATTCATTTATTCATTCCATAAATATTTACTGAATTCTCTTTTTAGGTTATGAGATAGAGTAGTAAGCAAGACTGTATAAGGTTCCTGATATCATGAAGCTTTCAAACTAGTAGATTCATTTCATACAGTCTAAAGTGTACACTGGAAAGTATGAAAATACCATATGGATCGACTTTAAGATGTCTTGACAACAGTAACATACTTCTTTTTTATATATTTTTTAGTATTTATTTTATTTTATTTTTTGAGAGAGTGCACAAGCAAGCATAGGAGAGGCTGACAGAGAAAGAGAGAGAGAAAGAGAGAGAGAATGAAAATCTTAAGCAGGCTCCAGGCCTAGCACAGAACACAGCAAAGAACCCGAAGTGAGGCTCAATCTTACAATTTGAGCCAAAATCAAGAGTCAGATGCATAACCAACAGAGCCACTCAGGCGCCCCAACATACTTCTTTTTAAAGGCTATAATTTAAAAATCCTCATGTTTGATTTAGACTTTGCGACATGATGAGCTGTTTTCTCCAATACTAAACAGATTTTTATGCTTTTTGGAAGCAATTTTATCAGTTATTTATAGCTTTCTTCTTAATCTCTTCATTGTTGGGCTCTCATATTTCATTTGTGGATGCTGCTATTCTGCCTATCTTTAATGTGGGTATTACCTCCTCACCTATTTCAAAACTAGAAAAATATCTATTATATAAAGGTATAAAAACCATGACAATCCAGGGATAAAATATATGAGCTTAACACTAAAAGAATATTTTCACTAGGGTCTAAGCTACATTCCAAATACTTGAACTTGCTGGAAAAGTGTGCTATTAAATTTGCAAAATAATTAACAAAATAAGTTAAGAAAAGTCAACAAATGTACAGCAAACTCACAATTATTATACCACATTAAATTCCATATATAATCAATTTTCAAAAAAATAATTTTCATCAACATTTTCTTTGTACTAATACTGCTACGTTTTTAATTCTGTTTTTCTAAAACCTTTAAAAATCTATCTTGGGGCGCCGGAGTGTCTCAGTCAGTTAAGCGTCTGACTTCGGTTCAGGTCATGATCTCATGGTTCGTGGGTTTGAGCCCTGTATCAGGCTCTGTGCTGACAGCTAGCTCAGAGCCTGGAGCCTGTCTTCAGATTCTGTGTCTCCCTCTCTCTCTGACCCTCCCCTGCTCATGTTGTCTCTGTCTCTCTCTCTCTCAAAAATAAAACATTAAAAAAAATTTTTTTAATTAAAAAATAAAAGAAACTATCTTACCAGCTAAGATGTAAAATAAAAATTTACAAACCAATACCACACTAAATATCATAAATGACATTACATTATTTCTCTTAATAACAGTTTCACTACAGCTCAGTTTATGGACACACATATTAATACATTATCATCTCAATTCATTCAAAAAACTTAAAATGAATTATAAATAAAAAAACGTAAAATACCAACTTTAGAGTCTGCATCGCCATGCTTAATGAGTTATAGAGAGACGGTTCTCCGTGGCAGGTCAGATCTACAGCTTTCTTCAAAGCCGTGATGTGTTTCCTTGGGTTTCCTAAAATAAAAATGTAATAATCTACTTACAATAAAATTTTATTATACATTATAGAAATTTGTGTTTTTGCCTATATTTACTTATCCATGTTATTAAAGAACAGAATCTCCTCAATTTATATTTTTATAGCAAGTGGCACTTTTATCAGAAATGTTTGTTATATAAACTTTTACTTCACATTGAAAAACAGAATAAAAATTATCTTCCTATTAGCATACTTTTTTTTTTTTTTTTAATTTAAGTAGACTGCATGCCCAACATGGAGCCCAATGCCGAGCCCAAATTCACAACCCTGAGATCAAGACCTGAGCTGAGATCAAGGGTCAGATGCTTAACCAAATGAGCCATCCAGGTGCCCCAACATACATTTCTTTTTAACACGGGGCTTGAATTCATGACCCTGAGACCAAGAGTCACATGCTCAACTAAGCCAGCAGGGCGCCCTGTTAGGGCATATTTTAAATGTCATTAAAGGGCACAACTTTTTACTTTTAGTGTTTCCCTATTTCATCATTTTTAAGGCTCCTACATTTTTACAATTTAACATCTCTGAAATCACGCTGTGTCTTACAACCACCGGCAGCCAGGCAGCACTTGTGACATGAGCATCACTGCCTGGTTACATGGGAACCTAAGGATGGCTCCTGAGGTGTTGTACCAACTGCATCACGTACCCTGTTTGTGCTATTCATGTTCAATCTAACTGCCATTTAAAGTGTTTCTTGGGGGCCCAGGAAGCTCAGTCTGTTGAGTATCCGACTCTTGATTTCAGCTCAGGTCATGATTGTGGGACTGAGCCCCACATCAGGCTCCACACTGAGCATGGAGCCTCTTAAGATTCTTTCTCTCTCTCCCTCTGCCCCTCTCCCTTGCCTGTGCACTCTCTAACATAACATAATATGACATAACATAACATAACATGTTTCTAAAAAAGGTTATTAATGCTAAGGTTATATGTTTATGTAGAAAGGCAAGGAACAGAGCAGTGAGGTATAAATTTAGTATTAGTGAAGCAAAACTTCACTGATAAAAGAATGACTATAATTCCCTATTTTTTATTCAGGGGATAAAAAAGGAGTTTTATACGACCTAAGAAAGGAAGATCTCCACAAGTAAACATAGCTGTGTTATCTTCTGTTACTGAACTGACATCTGAAAAGATTGTCTATTTCACACCAACCAATACATATAAAGTGAAGAGAAATTGCCAAGTTCTTTAAAAGAGCTACCACACATGTCAAATTATCAAGAAGCTGGTGTAAAAAATAATTTTTTTCTGTTTTTGATATGAACAATTTACATTTATCATCGGACAGCGGGTCAAAGTTTATATGCTAGAGTTAAGCTTGATGGCTCATAAAATAAAGCCATCTTACAAATGATGGAATCTGAGATTCAATGAAATACAGTTAGACAGTTTCTCCTATTTCAACACTGTCTTCACTTTAATGATAATCAAAACATTATTAAATTGATTTTATCAGATAATTCATCAAACTACTTCCATACCGTTGAACATCTCTTCCCAATTTGTCATTAGTATTATCTGCAGAAGGAGGCGGCTTCTTCTTTCATAATGTTTCCTAAGTATAAATTCTAAGGAACAACCATTTTAATGGTTTTTCCCAAAAATGTTAAACAAATTAATGAGCTCATCAGCACTATAAGTACCAGTTTCTCCATGGTTCAACAAGCAGTGTACTGCTTTTCAAACTTCATTTTCATCATTTAAAATACATAAAACAATACAATGTTGAGTGGTTTCGTTTTGTTTTTTGATTGCTTGTTTGACTAAAATTTTTTTTTTTAATTTATTTATTGTGAGAGAAAGAGACAGAGTGCATGCAGGGGCAGGGAGCAGAGAGGGAGAGAGACAATCCCAACAATCCCAAGCAGGCTCCACACTGCCAGTGCACAGGGCTCAATCTCACAAACCATGAGATCATGACAGAGCTATTGAGTTTTTCTTTTTTTTTTTTTTTTAAATATTTTTTATTTATTTCTAGGAGAGAGAGAGAGAGAGAGAGAGAGACAATGTGAGCAGGGGAGGGTCGGAGAGAGAGACGGAGTCACAGACTGAAACAGGCTCCAGGCTCTGAGCTGGCAGTCAGCACAGAGCCCGATGTGGGGCTCGAACCCACGAACCGCGATATCATGACCCAAGCGAAAGTCGGACGCTTAACCGACTAAGCCACCCAGGCGCCCCGAGTTTTTCTTTTTATTCTGATGTGAATTATCTGTCTTCTTTGTCCATTCATCTACCTGGAGCTTCTTGGTGTTCTTAGTTATCTAAATAAGTTTTAAAATACCAAGCATTGGCCATTACTTTAATATAAATTTCAAGTATTTATTCATAGAATCCTAAAATTTTAAAAATGAAAAGTACCAGGGCACCTGGGCGGCTTAGTCAGTTAAGCATCCAACTCCTGATTTTGGCTCAGGTCATGACCTCTCGGTTCCTGAGTTCAAGTCCCAAGGCAGGCTCTGTGCTGTCAGTGCAGAGCCTGCTTGGGATTCTCTATCTCCCTCTCTCTTAACCCTCTTCTCGACAAGCACTCTTTCTCTCTCCCTCTCAAAATAAATAGACATTTTTTAAAAAGTACCTTACTAGGTCCAAATTCATCATTTCATAAGTGAGAAACAAATCTAACAAGTTAAATAATTGGCCTCAAGACAAACACCTACCCAGTGGCACAACCAGAACTTAAACCTACATTTCCTGGCCCTCTATCTACTTCTCTTTCTACCATACCATACAAAATATTTTGTTCATCTCCTACTGTATCGTGAGTACAGGAAAAAAGCCTACTACATTACTGTCAGTGTGGTTTATAGCAGTGATTCAGATTAGAGAGACAAAGGGTATCCTCAAGAGGTCTACTGGAATATCTAGAGGATTTTCTTTAATTAAAAAGAAGTTTTTAATTAAATTAAATTTTTAATTAAAAAAATTTTAAGTTTATTTATTTTTTAAGAGAGAGAAAGAGAGCAGGGGGAGGGCAGAGAGAGAGGGAAACACAAAATTCGAAGCAGGCTCCAGGCTCTGAGCTGTCAGCACAGAGCCTGATGCAGGGCTCACTCATGAGCCATGAGATCATGACCTGAGCCGAAGTTGGATGTTCAACCAACTGAGCCACCCAGGCACCCCTCCTGAACTATTTTTTAAAAGAATAAAATTCAGTTAGTCATGCCGTATAAGCAGAAAAAATGAATTATTAACAATAATTACAATTCAATTTTTAAGCTCTTGGCTCTTTAGAAATTTAACTTACAAAAAATTAATTTTAAGACTAAGTGCATTTTTAGAATGGTTACAACAATTTTATCTTAATTCTTTCAGGATAAGAATGAATGAATGTTAAATAAACATTTACATTCACTGCAGTAGTATTCATTATTGTACAGAACTCAATTTAAAACAGTTCATCTTAAATACCAAGAGTTTAATGAAGGGTTTATTAAGTGTTTCATGACGAGAGTATAAAAGAAGTCTACATTTTACTTATTAGGCAACCTTATAAACAGGGTTACAAACAAGGTTGAATAAATAAAGCCGAGTCCTTGAGTCCTGTAAAGGTAATTTTATGCATACCTGAGAGTTCGGTCAGTTTTTCAGCTCTTTTACTCTTTGTTACAATTATTCCAATCTCAAAATAAAAACAAAAATGATCATTAATTTAACAATTTATTTCTTCTTGAGAAGAATGTACATAACCTAAATTAGTAATTACAAAAGGAATAAGTAACATAAGAGAAATTTTTTCTCATGATGCTTCTGACATCAATTTAACTATGATTTCACTGTACATTATTTAACTTCTAGAGTTACCTTGCTTTTCATTGATAAGTGTACCAGAAACTGGTACACAATCTGGATCACTTAATAATCCACAGAAGATGTGTTCAATGTTTTAAAAATAAATTATAACTGGCAGTAATATCAGGAACCTAATTCTGAATTCTATCAGTTATCTACATACCTGACTAATAGGATTTTGATCAAAATATTCTTCTACGAAGTATTCCAACAACTGTTTAAAGAAAACAAAAACACTATATAAGGGCAAAATAATAACCATCAGAACATGTTTTGTGAAGCCCATTTATCAAGCATCACTTCATGATTTTTAGGCATGTAGATTTTCAAAAGCTGCTTAGTAAAAATATTAAATAAAGAATAAATTTAAAAATATTAAATAAAAATCACAAACTAAATAAGCCTGAATTTAAAATGGGAGGTGGTGAGGCAGAAACAATCCAAACATGGAAAGATCCAATGAAGCCAAACACAGGAGAATGAATGGCAGAAGCAAGGATGGGTTTTGACAAGTTAGGAATAATCTGAATATGTTCATAAGGTGAGGGGACTAATCTGAATGAAGTCCAAAGAGAATGAAAATTCAGTAAAGAAAAGGAATAACCGACTGACAAAGCAAGATGCTGATTAGGGAAGAAGGACAGAAATGAAGAACATAAATAATTGACCATTTTGTTGTATCATTTTCCAAAATGATGTGAAAGTCCTTCTACTTAGCTATACTTTATAATAACTAAAAAAAAAAACAAAAAAAAAAGAAATTCTTTAAAAAAGTTCCTTCACATGTACCCCAATGTTCATAGCAGCACTCTCCACAATAGCTAAAACATGGAAAGAGCCTAAGTGTCCATCAACAGATGAATGGATCAAGAAGATGTGGTTTATCTATACCATGGAATACTACATGGCAATGAGAAACAATGAAATCTGGCCATGTGTAGCAACATGGATGGACCTTGAGGGTGTTATGCTGAGTGAAATAAGTCAGGCAGAGAAGGACAAATACCATATGTTTGCACGTATAGGAGGATTAGGAGGAACTTGACGGAGGACCAAGGGGGAGAAGAAGGGTGGAAATGGTGGGGGAAAGGGAGAGAGGCAAACCATGAGAGACTCTTGAATGCTGACAAAAACTGAGGACTGATGGATGTGGGGGGGAGGGGGAGATGGGCATGAAGGAGGGCACTTTGGGGATGAGCACTGAGTGTTATGTAGAAACTAATTTGACAATAAACTATTTGTAAAAAAAAAAAAAAAAAAAAAAAATATGTAAAGAATAGTATATTTAAAAAATAAAGTGTATTAATGAAAAAAAAAAATAAAATAAAATAAAAAAGTTCCTTCATGGGAATGTATGGTATTTACTCAAGAGAAGAGGACAGAAAGAAAAAGAGAAGAACTATGACCAAGTCTTAGGGCACTCCAGCACTGGAAAGTTGGAGAGGAGCTCAAGAAGCAAATAAAGGGATTATTTGTAACCAAAGTCAAAAGAAGGATGGGTGGGGCACCTTGCTAGCTCAGTACTTAGAGTGTGCAAATCTTGATCTTGGGGTCAAGAGTTTGAGCCCCACATCAGGGATACAGTTTACTTAAAACACACACACATACACACACACACATACACACAAAAGAGGGAGAAGTGGTCAACTGTTTCATTTATTGCTAAAGATAAAAAGGCATTGAATTTCACATCCTGGCGGTTAGGGTGGACCTTGAAAATGTAGTTGTGAAGACAACATTCCAACTGGAGTATGTTAGAGAGAGAATGCTGTGGATATTCAACTGTGGAGAGTTGATCAATATTCCAATAAGCACAACACACAAATTCACCAAAAGAGAAGGTAAAGGGCAAATCTAATCTAGTAAATTTTAAGAACTTGTGTACAAAAAATGGAGTAGAGGATTTGGAAGAAGAATGAAGTCCAGCAGTATGTCTTGACCTCTCCCTCACTCTATTCCTCTGAAGCCCCAATCATGACTCAAAAGTCCTGAGAAATTTCACCAATATGCTTGCTTTTGTTAAAAAGTAAAAAGAGAGAGAATATTCTTATCTTTTCCCTCTTCTGCCAGAAATTATGAATGCATAGGGAAGGCAATCAAGAACAGACTTTCCTTGTCAGAAGAGAACTATCCAAACTTAACACTTAATTGAGGGAAAGAGCTCAAAGTCTGGGAATATCTCATCATGGAAAAGCATTATATCCTTCCTCTCTTGCTGGTTAGTTAGAGTAAACAAGATACAGGACAGTATAACCTCAGAAGAGAAAATGTGTCCCCAGAAACCCAACACAGCTTGCATGCCACCCAAGCTGGGCTCTCCTCCTTTCGTGTACACCACTCCATCCCAGCTGCTATTATCTTGGGCCAGGGAAAAATACATGAAACATGAAATACCCAGGCTAAAATCAAGCATTAGAAGAGAAAAAAGGACCCATGTAAAAATGTATTCATGAATGTTCACAGCAACATTATTCATAAAGGCCCCCAAAAGTGGGAATAATCCAGTGTTGTATACAATGGAATATTGTCTGGCAAAAATAAAGACATGAAGTACTGATAACTGCTACAACATAGATGAATCTTGAAAACATTATACTAAGCAAAAGAAGCCAGTCACAAAAGATGACATGTTGTATGTTTCCATCTCTATGAAATGTTCAAATAAGAAAATTTGTAGAGACAGAAAGTACATTAGTGATTGCCTAGGCCTGAGATGGGTTGGGAGACAAAAGGGAGTGACTGTTAAATGGTACAGGTTTTTTTTTTATGATAAAAATGCTCTAAAATTGATTGTGGAAATAGTGTTGAACAACTCTGTAAATATACAAAAAACTTTAAGGTTATACTTTAAATAAGTTCATTTTATGGTATGTGAATTATATCTTAATAAAGCCATTGTAGAAAAAAAAATTTATTTTAGAATTCAGTGTCCTTTGCCACATTTAGTATAACTAAGAATGATTTTACCGTACTTTTAAAGTACAAGTCAATCTGTTTGGCTTTAAATCTTGGTCTTCCATCGTTCTTGATCCATCTACTACCACATAAAGATGACGCATCTACCAAAAAAAAAACAAAGACAATTTTCAAAAACATTTTTGACTAAGAAATAAAAATGTCATTTAGTATTTACATATCACACACACACACACACACACACACACTTTTTTTAAGGGTGAGAGAGCGTGCATGAGAGATGGGGAAAAGGGCAAAAGGAGAGAACAGTAAGCAAGCTCCATGCCCACGATGGAGCCAGAGGAAGGGCTCAAACTCATGAACCCATGAGACTGTGACCTGACCTGAAATCAAGTATTAGACACTCAACAGAATGAGGCACACAAGGACCCTCTACATGTATATTTTTCATATATGCTTTTAAAAGGTCGGCTGTCTTACTATTAGTTATTCTGTCAAGACAAAATGTTTCTGTAACCCAACTATTTCTGTCCTGGTAAAGAAAAAAATATTAGGGGCACCTGGATGGTTCAGTTGGCTGAACATTCGACTTCAGCTCAGGTAATGATCTCACAGTTCATGAGTTTGAGCCCTGTATTGGGCTCTCTGCTATTAGTGCAGAGCTCACTTTGGAGCCTCTGTTTCCCTCTCTTTCAGCCCCTCCACCACTTGCTCTCTCTCAAAAATGAATAAACATTAAAAAAAATTATATAAAAAAATTAACATACCATTCCAAGTCGAACCTGTCCATGGTGCTCAAATGCTCTGTTAAAATTATGCAAACATTTTAATAGAATGTCCTTTATTACCCCCAAAATCTATATAACTTTTCAAGTAACCTGCATTTTTTTAGGGAAATAAATTATTCACTTATGGGACCCCCCCCTAATTACAGGCATTTGGATACTACCTGAAGACCTAATTCCTTGCTGAGATGCTAGGTTGCTGGTTCCTTCACCCTATTCAGGAGTTTAAAGGTCAGGACACAGCTGAAATGAAGTACTAAAGAGTGGGTATATGTGGACAGAAAGACTTGAATAAATTTTACCTTTTATAACACAATTACAAAAAGTTTACATACCTTTTTCTCTTTGCTTTGAAGAGAATGTCTTCTATTGTAGCTTTAAGTGATCCTGATTCATCTTCTTTAAGAATCTCCCTATAAGGAATAATTACTCATTTGAAAAGAAAAGCTAAAAATTTATCAACCCAAAAGAAATGAAAATGTATGTTTAAATGTCAATCAACTGGTGAATAGATGAATAAAAACATGGTATACAATATAATGCTATTCAGCAATAAAAAGGAATGAATTTCTTTTTTTTTTTTTTTAATGTTTTTTTTTTTATTTATTTCTAGGAGAGAGAGAGAGAGAGAGAGACAGCGTGAGCAGGGGAGGGTCAGAGAGAGAGGGAGTCACAGACTGAAGCAGGCTCCAGGCTCTGAGCTGGCAGTCAGCACAGAGCCAGACGCGGGGCTCGAACCCACGAACCGCGAGATCATGACCTAAGCGAAAGTCGGACGCTTAACCGACTAAGCCACCCAGGCGCCCCAAAAAGGAATGAATTTCTGATCTCTGCTACAACATGGATGAACCTTGAAAATAATGTTATGTGCAAGAAGCCAGACATAAATAACCACAGATTATATGATTACATTTCCATGAAATATCTAGAAGGGTGAATCCACAGAGTCAAAATGTACATTAGTAGTTGCGTAGGGCTAGAGATACAAATAGAATTAACTGCAAATGGGCATGAAGGATCTTACTGGGGTAGTGAAAACATGTGTTAAATACACTTTAATAAATGTATTAGGAAAACCAGTCACCGAGGGGTGCCTGGGTGGCTCGGCTGGTTAAGTGTCTGACTCTTGATTTTGGCTCAGGTCATGACCTCAAGGGTTAGTCAGTTTGAGTCCAGCACTGGGCTCTGCACTAACAGTCTGCTTGGGATTCTATGTCTGCCTCTCTATCTACCTGCCCTGTGCTCATGCTTGACCTGGTCCTCTCTCAAAATAAATTAACTTAAAATGAATGAATGAATAATAGTAATAAAAAAAACAACAACAGTCACTGGAAGACAAGAGAGACAAAGCTGTGAAACAATGAGAAACACTGTCTAAAAGAGAAAGAGAATAAGATGCCCTACTCACCATGTCCTTTCATAGCCTCCTTCCCAACGCTTAGTTCTTTCAGGTTCCTCATCCATTTTCTTTTCTTAAATGTATTATTCAATATCCTGTAAAAATCATCAGACTGTGAAATTTCTAAAAATATTTGTCACCGAATTCATACATTTCAATCTGAAAAGTAAAGAGAGGGAAGCAAACATATAAAGTAAAAAAATAAATAAAAACAGAGAATGCAAGGTCGTAGAATTCTTTGCAATTTATTCAATAATAGTTGAATGAAAATATTTCACAAAATTCTCATGAAACTCTTTTTCCCATTCCTAAGAAAAAATACATTTATGCACAAAGCTGGCACCAATCGAAGATAAACATCTTTTTACAATTTTTAAAAACAAAAATGCATTATAAATGTGTCATAGGACAAGACCACAGAATTAGGGGAAGTCAGTAAAAATGTAGATGAAACAAGTTCAGCTGCAAATGCTGGCTATTATAGCTGAGTGACGGATGCATGGTGAGTCATTGTATTGTCTACCTGTCCAATTTTGTGTATGTGTGAATTTTCTCACAATCAAAAATTTTAACTATGATTAAAATTGAATCACAATGTGGGGCTGGAACTCACAACCTTGAGATCAAGAGTTACATGCTCTAGTGACTGAGACAGCCAGGTGCTCCATAATAATCATGAGTTTTAGTATATGTGCTGCCGAAGCAAGCTATAATCATGAGTTTTAAAATGAAATTTATAGAGAGATCCAACATGGCAGAGAAGTAGGGGGACCTGACGTTCCCTTGCCCCTCAAACACAGCAGTGTTGAGACCAAAGGACTTTGAATTCCAAGAGTTCAGGCTGGAGAGGGACAGAGATGTCTCTGGGGGCCCCTGGGGAGTACCTGGCGGCCCACAGTGGAGGCAGGATCCACCTACACCAAACCCTGCCCCTCTGCGCCTGGTAACTGTGTTTCTACTAGCATGGGATGGACACCCACAAACAACAGCCTCTCTTCCAGACCAGCGCTGCTACTGGTTCCAAAACACTCAGTGATTCTGCATGTTGTGATTTAATTTCTGGACAACTCTTATTTTATATATATTTTATTTTATATATATATATATATATTTCCGCCCCCCCCTCCGCCTTTTCTCCTTATTTCTTCCATCTTCTAGTCTGATTATTCTGGTTGTTGGTTTGTTTAAGCAGACATATTTAATCTATTTTTTTTATACTTGTTCTGTATCTCCTTCTTTATTTTCCTCCCTCTCTCTAGATTAACTGGTATAGTTTCTCTGACGGGTCTATTTTCTTTTCTTTTGTTTTTCAGCCCCTGTCATTTCTCTTTTTGCATGGGATAAGGCCTCTTCCATCAATACCGCTCCACCCATTGGTATTTTTTGTGGTTGTTGTTTTGTGGGGTTTTTTGTTGTTTTGTTTTGTTTGTTTTCTCCAGGGCTACTTCAAGGAACAAATCAAAGCACACCTGGTGGAGGATCCAAAACATCACTACCAGTAGGGAAATAAAACAATCAGAGTAACAACAACAGAGAGCAAGTAACACTCCAAAAAACATCTCCTGAATGATCAGGCCCTGGACAGCATAGGACTCCCCTTTAATATAGTAGTCCTCACAGGCGCAGGACATAGAACAAGCTTTTAGAACACATAAGGGACAGAAAACTAGCCAAAATGACAAAAGAGAAAAAATTCTCCTCAAAAGAAATTCCAGGAAGGGGCGCCTCAGTGGCTCAGTCAGTTGGGTGGCTGACTTCAGCTCAGGTCATGATCTCACAGTCTGTGAGTTCAAGCCCCGCATGGGGTTCTGTGCTGAGAGCTCAGAGCCTGTAGCCTGCTTCAGATTGTGTCCCCTTCTCTCTCTGTCCCTCCTCTGTTCACACTCTATCTCTGTCTCTCAAGAATAAATAAAACATTAAAAAAAAATTCCAGGAAGAAATGACAGCTAAAGAATTGATCAAAACAGATATAAACAATATATCTGATCAAGAATTTAGAATAATAGTCATAAGAATAATCGCTGGGCTTGAAAAAAGCATAAAAGACACAGAGAAACTATTGCTGCAGAGAACAAGGAACTAATTTTTAGATGAACCAAGAAATGCTGTAAATGAGGCATAAAATAAACTAGATGCAGTGAGAGCAAGGATTGAAAGGACAGAGGGGAAAATAAGTGAAACAGAAGATAAAATTATGGAAAAAGATGCTGAGAAAAAGAGAGATAAAAAAATTATAGACCACAAGGGGAGAATTAGAGAACTAAGTGATTCAATAAAACATAATAATATTCGTATCAGAGGAATTCCAGAAGATGAGAGAGAGAAAGGGGCGGAAGGTGTACTTGAACAAATCATACTTCCTCAATCTGAGGAAGTAAAAAGACACTGAAAACCAGGAGGCAGAGAGAACTTCCTTCAGATGTAACAGGAATCTGTCTTCTATACAATATATCATTGGGGCGCCTGGGTGGCTAAGTCGGTGAAGTGCCTAACTTCAGCTCAGATTTGTGAGTTTGAGCCCCACATTGGGCTCTGTGCTGACAGCACCAGGATTTTTCTCAAAGGTAGAACAAACAATCCTAAAATTTGTATGGCACCACAAAAGATCCCGAATAGCCAAAGCAATGTTGAAAAAGAAAACCAAAGCAAAGGCATCAAAATCCCAGACGTTATCCTCTACTACAAAGCTATAATCATCAAGACAGTTTGGTACTGGCATAAAAAGAGACACATAAACCAATGGAATAGAGAACCCAGAATTGGACCCACAAATGTATGGCCAACTAATCTTTGACAAAGCAGAAAAGAGTATCCAGTGGAAAAAAGACAGTCTTTTTAGCAAATGGTGCTAGGAGAACTGGAAAGAAACATGCTATTGCTGAAACATGACCACTTTGTTACACCATACACAAAAATAAACTCAAATGGATGAAAGACCTAAATGCAAGAAAGGAAACCGTCAAAACCCTACAGGAGAAAACAGGCAACAACCTCTTTGACCTCAGTCGCAGGAATTCCTTTCTCAACATGTCTTTTCCAAAGGCAAGGGAATTAAAAGCAAAAATGAGTTGCTGGGACCTCATCTATCAAGATAAAAAGCTTCTGCACAGCAAAGGAAACAATCAACAAAACTAAAAGGCAATGGAAGGAATGGGAAAAGATATTTGCATATCACATATCAGATAAAGGGCTAGTATCCAAAATCTATAAATAACTTACCAAACTCAACACCCAAAAAGCAAATAATCCAGTGATGAAATAGGAAGAAGACATGAACAGACACTCTTCCAAAGAAGACATCCAGATGGCCAACAGACACATGAAACAATGCTCAACATCATCAGGGAAACACAAATTAAAACCACACTGAGATACCACCTCACACCAGTCAGAGTGGCTAAAGTGAACAACTCGGGAAACTACAGATGTTGGTGAGGATGTGGAGAAATGTGAACCCTTTTGCACTGTTGGTGGGAATGCAAACTGGTGCAGCCCCTCTGGAAAACAGTGTGGAGGTTTCTCAAATTAAAAACACAACCACCCTACAACCCAGAAATAGCACTACCAGGAATTTTTCCAAAAGATACAGGAGTGCTGATGCATAGGGGCACATGTACCCCAAGGTTTATCACAGTGCTTTCAACAATAGTCAAATTATGGCAAGAGCCCAAATGTCCATCAACTGATAAATGGATAAAGAAGATGTGGTTTATTTTTTAAAAATTTTTTAATGTCTTTTATTTTTTATTTTGGGAGACAGACAGAGCGAGTGGGGGAGCAGCAGAGAGAGAAAGGGAGACAGAATCCAAAGCAGGCTCCAGGCCCTGAGCTGTCAGCACAGAGCCCGACGCGGGGTCCTTACTCATGGACTGCGAGATCATGACCTGAGCCTAAGTCAGACGCCCATTCGACTGAGCCACCCAGGTGCCCCAAGAAGTGTGGTTTAATATATACAATGGAACACTACTTGGCAATGAGAAAGAATGAAATCCTGCCACTTGCAGCAATGTGAATGTAACTGGAGGGTATTATGTTAAGTGAAATAAGTCAGCCAGAGAAAGAGACACACAGAGTCACAGAGAAAGACACATATGTTTTCACTCATATGTGGAACTTGAGAAGCTTAACAGAAGACCATGGGGGAGGGGAAGGGAAAAAAGTAGTTACAATAGAGAGGGACAGAGGCAAACCATAAGAGACTCTTAAATACAGAGAACAAACTGAGAGTTGATTGGGGGTGGGGGAGAGGGGAAAATGGGCAATGGGCATTGAGGAGGGCACTTGTTGGGATGAACACTGGATGTTGTATGTAAGCCAGGAACAACAAGAATCTACCCCTAAAACCAAGAGCACACTGTACACACTGTATGTTATCCAACTTGACAATGAATTATATTAAAAATAAATAAAAATAAAATTTAAAAATGAAATTTATTATTTATAACTTTTTTACTGTTTATTTTACTTTTGAGAGAGAGACAGACAGACAGACAGAGCATGATCAGGGGAAGGGTAGAGGGAGAGACAGAGACACAGGATCCGAAGCAGGTTCCAGGCTCCGAGCTGTCAGCACAGAGACCGACAGGGGGACTTGAACCCACGAACCGTAAGATCAGACCTGATCCGAAGTTGGTGCTTAATTGACTGAGCCACCCAAGCGCACCTGAAATTTACTGTTTATAAATGGTAAAGGCTTATGGCTCATAATTCAAAAAAAGGACACAATATTAAAACTATATTATAATCTGAAGTATTAAAAAAGGATAAAGGAAATGTTTAGTAATTCAATTAGGACATGGTTTCATTTAGATGAAGAGTGATTGGTTTTATACTTATTACTTTCTGTGTTTTCATATATATATTTAAATTTATTTATTTGGAAAGAGTGAGAATATGTGTGTGCGAGCAGGGTCAGGGGCACGGAGGGGGTGGAAAGCACAGAGCCCAACATGGGGCTCGATCTCACACACTGTGAGTTCATGACCTGAGCCAAAATCAAGAATCAGATGCTTAAGAGACTATGCCACCCAGGCATTCCCATATTTTTGTATTTTTCTTATGAGCATATATTTCTTTAATAATCAGGGTATAAACTGGTGGGGGGGGTAATCTATTAACCATAACCAAGTAAAAAAACATTCCAGTCACACCTACATTCCGTTCCTCCCCAATGGAATCTCCCTGCCTACCCTACACTTTCACTATCAGCCTCCTTCTTTCATAAACGAAAGATCAAAGGAATCCTAAAGGCCATAAAGACATTAAAGACAAAGCAAATCCCATCACTGGCAGAGGAAAAATTAATTTCTGTAATAAGGATCATATGCAAGGCCTTATGCTTCACTCACACTGTATTTTTTTTTTATATTTTATTCAGAAAAAAATTTTTAATGTTTATTTTTGAGAGAAACAGAGTGCGAGGAGGGGAGGGGCAGAGAGAGTTGGAGACATAGAATCTAAACAGGCTCCAGGCTCTGAGCACAAAGTCCCAGGTGGGGCTTTAACTCAGCAACCTGGAGATCATAACCTGAGCGGAAGTTGGACACTTAACTGACTGAACCACCCAGGTGCCCATCCACTAACACTACAGAAACATACATTTTATGATTTAAAGAACTGATCTATAAATGGACTTCTGAAATTAAAATCTATGACAAGTTGCAAACTACTTTTATGGTATCAGTGCTGAGGCACCTGCTATCATCAGGTTTTATTTGCTAAAATTCTGTATGTCTCTTACTGAAGTCACAAACCACTCCCTGGCATTGGAAGGGATCTATCTGTTTCAGGAATCTGGTGATCTACTTTAGTATATACTTCAGAAGACTGCCTGAAATAATGACAAGTGAGTTAATTCTAACATTTGTACTATTTCAACACACTATGCTGGTGCCTGTAAATTTAACGATCAGTGTAGAAACAGCATATCGTGACTAAGTTGAACATTTTGATCCTCCATCAAAGTTTCTGAATTACTGTGAATTACAAAAATCAAAATTTACGTAGCATTCTTGATGTTTTCAAACTCAAATTCTTAGAAACGACACTATTGTCATCTATCATATCAATATTTAAACTGTTATTTTATTCTTAGTCTACTGCTTTTAATTCTCTGAAAGCTGAGAAACATTGAGAACTGATGAGTAGAGCCTGCAAACAGGGACACTTCTGGCTCACTGGATACAAGGACTTCTTAGAGTTGTCTGCAAAGGGAAATTACAGAAGTATTAAGCTTCCCGTAATTGCTGATGTTCCAAGGGAAGCTGGATGTTTATAACGCATGTTATGAATAGAGAAAGAAGTTATGCATCCTGGAGAGAGATGTACTTGATGACCTCTTCGGTCAGCATCTCCAAAAGCTGATTCGTTTCCTCGGAATCAAAACCCTGAAAAGCCATTTCCCCTAGGGTGAGCCTGTTGGTATGATTTTGGGCAATGAGCTCAGAATGCTAAAAATGAGATCTGCACCAAGCGTCGCAATTTATGAAGCTTTTACTCGCACCTCACCCTGCCAAACGCTGCGAGCCAGGCAAGGGTGATCACTGCCCTGTGTTCAGACTTGGAACTCGAGGCTCACACTCTCTCGAAGTCACACAGCTGGAGGTAGGTCAAACTCGAAGCCAGGACCACAATTCCCAAAACTCGCGTCCTGCCTTAGGGAAGGAGAGCCATCCTCTGGACTACAGCCCCACACGCTTCTATACAGCTCCGCGACGGAAGTTGCACTCCTCTCCCTCCAGACGCTCCCTCCCACCCTCAAATCCCTACGGGGCTGCTCGGAACCATTTGGCCTCCGTGGCCGCACGCGAAAGCCCTACAAGCTGCCGCAGCCCCCAGTCGGTGCCCACCTTGGCTCCACAGGGAGCTCTACCCACGAACTCACCGGTCTCTTGAATCCCTCTCTGCCCGGAAGCTCCGCCCAGTGGGTTCCAAGGCCTCTGATGAAATCCTTCCCCAGCGCGCAGCGGCGACGGACAAAACGTTCCGGTTGCTTCGAGCGACGGTTCCGGGTACCATCGTGGGCCGCCGATGGTAGCCAGAGCTGACTTAAGGTGCGAGCACCGGCCTCTTCTCCCACTTCCAGCGGGTACCCATAGAGAGGCGGGAAAACTGGTCGCCGTCGACCCGGCATCCGACGAGCTTGATTTTTGTTATATTATTTCTAAAAGGTTGGCGTGAAGGACTCTAAAAGCAGCAGCAGCTAGGCCAGAAGCTTGCTGGGCATCGGGTTTCTGGGGCTCTGCTGCTCCTGCTGTTGATGTAACAAGTATTACTGAGCGCCTACTGTGGGCCTGAGACAGTTCTAGGCACTGAGTAATAGCAGTGAAAAACGAACAAATCCTTCCCCTTGTGGAATTTTGCTTCTCCTATGGATATACTTCTCAAGAAAAGCATGTTGGATCAAATGGTGATAGTGCCAGTAGAAATCAAACAATAGGGGCGCCCGGGTGGCTCATTAGGTTAGACCTGGGACTTTGGCTCAGGTCATGATCTTGTGGTTTGTGACTTCGATCCACGCCTCCGGCTCTGTGCTGACAGCTCGAAGCCTGTTTCAATTCTGTGTCTCCCTCTCTGCCCCCACCCTGCTTGCGCTATGTGTCTTTCTCAAAAATAAACATTTAAAATTTTTTTAAAAAATTTAAACGGAAACCAACTTGACAATCAACTATTTAAAAAAAAAATTAAACATGTAAGGAGGAAAGGGTTGCAGCTTAAAATATTTTAGCCAGAGGAATCCTCACTGAGAAGGTGGTTGAACCATGACCAGAATAGAGAAAGGGAGTTAACCATCCTGATACCTAGAGAAAGACTTCCCCAGACAAAAGGAACCGCAAGTGCTAAGGTCCTGAGGTGGAAGCACAATGATGTGTTTCAGGAACTGCATGAGAAAGGGGGTTGAGTGATGGCTGCTGAAATCTGGTGGGGGTCTCTGAACATTTTAATATCTTCTGAGGAATGATAGTGGTTTGGACTAGTGTAGTATGGCAGTGCAGCTAGTGAGAAGGACAGGATTCTATCTAGATCCTGTCAATAGAGTTGATGTGTATTAGGAGAAAAGATTCAATGACCCAGTTTTCAGTTGGGTTACTGAAAGGTTGGAGTTGCAATTACTGAGAGGGTGAGGGGTGATAAGATCAGTTTTGGACAAGTTTGTGATGTTTGAGATGCCTGCTAATACGTATAGAATTACCAGTGTGCACGCAAGCTGCAGTACATTAAAAAAGGCAACTGATGGGGGGCGCGTGGGTGGCCCAGTCGATTAGGTGCCACACTTTGGCTCAGGTCACCATCTCCCGGTTGGGTTCGAGGGTTTGAGCCCCGCCACCAGGCTCTGTGCTGACAGCTCAGAGCCTGGAGCCTGCTTCAGATTCTGTGTCTCCCTCTCTTGCTGTTCCCCTCCCCTTCATGCATGCTCTTTCTTAAAAATAAATAAGCATTTAAAAAATTGACAAAAAAGGCAACTGATGTCAACCTGTGACTAAAGTGACCTCAAGGAGAAACCAAAACAATAACAGGAAAACCAGTTAAGCAGAGGCATGCAGGCAATATTTTGGAACAAATATGATAGAAGCACAATGTATTAAGATGACCTAAGGATTTTTCACGTGTCTATGTGGACATCTGTAAACGTTAATTGTTACAATAGAAACAATTATACCTTGTGACAGGCAATTACATATTAGAGAACTGCTTACCCGCACTCATATTCCTTCCCCTTTTTATGTATAATCTGTAAAGGGAAAACTTTCAGAGCAGTTCTGAGCCATTTCAAATACTGTTTCCTGGGCTAGAGTCCTCAGTAAAACAACATATAATGCATTTACTAACCTATTTTGAGGTTGACTTTTTTTTTTTATTTGATACTAGCATTTCCCACACTTCAGAAATGGAGAGGGGCAAGGCACATTTAGAGTACCAGAAAAAGGTTATACCCAGGAAAGAAATAATAGAAAGGATATGTAAGGGCTGGGGTTTCTTTACTGCCCCATCAGTATATGCTTCCCCTATATATGTGGCCTATATAGTTTTGTTGGTACCAGCATCTTTCCTTGTGCTCTGCCCTCCCCAAAACAGAAACACAAGGCATCTTGCATAGAAGTGGAAAGAACAGGCTTGGATTTCAAATCAGCCTCTGCCACAATAGCAGGGTGACCACAAGCAAGTCACAACCTAAGTTTCATCTATAAAATGAGGATTCCTTTACCTACCCTAGAGGCCTTACACCACACACCAGGGCAACTCCGTTACCAGCTATTTTTATTTCCCCCTAGAAAACAAGGCCTTATTGTTTGTTTTCGGTATTGTCTTTAAAAAAGAGAGGGGCGCCTGGGCGGTTCAGTCTGTTGAGCAACAAGCTCTTGGTTTTAGCTCTGATCAGGATCTCAGGGTTCTTGAGTTCGAGCCCAGGCTTGGGCTCTGAGTTGATGGTGCAGAGCCTCTGTGGGATTCTCTCTGTGCCCCTCCCTTGCTCACCCTTTCTTTCTCTCTCTGAAAATTAATACATAAAAACTTTTCAAAAATTATAAAAAGGAGAGGAGAGGGGCACCTGGCTGGCACATTTGGTGGAGTGTGTACTCTTGATCTCAAGGTTGTGAGTTTGAGCCCCACACTGGGTGCAGAGATTACTTAAAAATAAAATCTTTAGGGAGCACCTGTGCAGCTCAGTTGGTGAAGCCTCTGACTCTTGATCTCATCTCAGGTCATGACCCCCTGGTTCATGGGTTTGAGCCCTGATGTTGGGCTCTGCACTGACAGTGCAAAGCCTGCTTGGGACTCTCTTTCTCTCAGAAAGTAAACATTTTTTAATGTTTATTTTTATTTACTTTTTTGTTTTAAAATTTTTTACTGTTTTATTTTTGAGAGGGGGCAGGGGCAGGGAGAGAGGGAGACAGAATCTACAGCAGGCTCCAGGGTCTGAGTTGTCAGCACAGAGCATGATGGGCTCAAACCCCAAACCACAAGATCATGACCTGAGCGGAAGTCAGATGCTTAACTGACTGAGCCACCCAGGTGCCCGTATTTTTTTTTTAATGTTTTTTAAATTTATTTCTAGGAGAGCGAGAGAGAGAGAGACAGCGTGAGCAGGAGAGGGTCAGAGAGAGAGGGAGTCACAGACTGAAACAGGCTCCAGGCTCTGAGCTGGCAGTCAGCACAGAGCCCGATGCAGGGCTCAAACCCACGAACCGCGAGATCATGACCTAAGCGAAAGTCGGACACTTAACCGACTAAGCCACCCAGGCGCCCCAAGGTGCCCGTATTTTTGAGAGATAGCACGAGTGAGGGAGGAGAAGAGAGGGGGACACAGAATCTGAAGCAGGCTCTAGGCTCTGAGCTGTCAGCACAGAGCCTGACAGGTAACCCAAACTCACGAACCATATCATAACCTGAGCTGAAGTCAGACACTGAGCCACCCAGGTGCCTCCAAAAGTTAACATTTTAAAACAATAAAAAATTTTTTAATTACAAGGAGAGGAGAAATTAGCATTCCTGAGCCTTTCCTAGTGCCATTTTTGCACCCCCCAGATCTTTGACTCTTTTTAGGACTCACTTTTCCTTTGCCCTTCTTAGTTTCCCTCTGTCCTCCCTTCCTTCCATTAACTCAGCATTTTCCTTTTTCTTTACCTCCATTCTGGTCCGCCATCATGTTCCAAGACCGGATGCATTCCTATGGGACAACTGGCCACACCCCCAAGTCCCAAGTATGTGTCTTGTGTATGTTCACTACCCATCAGTCTGGGAACAACTTATTTTAATTAAAAAAAAATTTTTTTTTTTAATGTTAAGTAGGGTCCACAGCCAATGTGGGGCTTGGACTCATGACCCTGAGTCATATGTTTTATTGACTGAGCCAGCCAGGCACCCCGAGGAAAGGCCTTTTTTTGTTTCTAATGAAAAGCTCCCAAAATTGAGTCTTCCCAAAATGTAATTTATGGAGAGGAGGCTAAATCATTCAAACTCACAACTGTATAGATTTTATTCATAGATCTTGACTCAAGTAAAAGGGGTACTAAGGCAAAATAAAACATGCATAAATCCATGGATTGTAATCCCTTGCCATAATTATGGCTGACACAATATTCTAATTGTGTACAAATGGGTGGAATAAAGAAATGGATCTAACCTAGCCTAATGTTTCAACTAGTAAAACTAAGGGATAACCATGAAGAATGGAACAGTCAGTTCCTTGCCCACTGGTAGCTGGACACAGTCCACTGAGTTAAGAAACTTATGGAGAGCTCAGCCAATGTTATTAAGCTGAAATTCAGTGTGTACGACTTTGGAGAATAGATGAGGCTGCCTGTTCCAATACCTTTTTTTTCTTAAAAATTTTAATGTGTATTTATTTTTGAGAGAGACAGAGCACGAGCAGGGGAGGGGCAGAGAGAGAGACAGACAGATAGACAGACAGAGACAGAAAACAAAGCATGCTCCAGGCTCTGCGCATCAGCATAGAGCCCGACGCAGGGTTCAAACTCAGGAGCTATGAGATCATGACCTGCACTGAAGTGGGATGCTTAACTGACTGAGCCACCCAGGTGCCCCTCCAATACTTTTAGATGGAACCTAAATCATTCCGGAGAAAGACTCACTGAAAAACCTCCACAATTGCTTTTAACAGTATCTAAAATCCTTATTTTGATACGTAAATCCAACTTTTAAAGCACCTCTTCACCATGTATGAAGTCAAGGCCAAGACGAATGCAGCTATCTGTCTAGAATTCAAAAGAATGTATAGCCAGGGCACCTGGGTGGCTCAGTCGGCTAAAGTGCCCAACATCGGCTCAGGTCATGATCTCACTGTTAGTGGGTTCGAGCCCCACATCGGGCTGTGCTGACAACTACCTCAGAGCCAGGAGCCTGCCTCGGATTCTGTATCTCCCTCTCTCTCTGACCCTCATCTGTTCATGCTGTGTGTGTCTGTCTTTCT